GTCATAAACAGGTGGAGCAATAGGATGTGTAATGTTTATAGAAAATAAATACCAGACTTGCTTTCAGATTTTTTAAAGTACACTCGCTGAAGAGTCCTTCTTTCGGATTTTAGGCAACGTAAAGGTTGTCGTAGTAAAGATTGAAGATTATAGTTTTGTAGAAATTTCGGTTATTTGTTTTTGTGCACTAACTCTTCATATTTTGATTCACATTATAACTACTTTCCCACACCCACACAAAGATTCTTTTACGATGCTATGTGCTTATATTTTGCTTCGTTAGAGATATTGTAAAACTTTTAACTGTAAGACTGAAGGATGTCTTGCTGGAAGTGCATAATCCCAGAGCGGATCTACTAGTAGTTGGCGGTTCTTTCTCTCAATAAATGACGAAGCAAAAGCAACTTTTGTCACAGGTTATATCACCGGTGTCTCCCAAGGGACCACTTTTACCTAATGCACTGTCAGTCGGCGCAGCCCACGTTGAATGTAGGGATAAGAAAATTGAGCCTTTTTAACGGGTACCAGCGGAATGCGTTAAAGTTCATGTTGAAGTGCTATTTTAAGTGCAACATTCAAATTTATCATCCGCTGCAGAACCTGGCTGATGTTGAGCGCACATCCCTTTATTGTCAATCGTTTAGGACCGCAGAGTGATTTCTAACAAAAAAGGCTAGCAGAAATTGGGAAAACGCTTGATCTTACCCTCATATCCTTTAAATGTGGGCTCGCCTAAACACCTCTTCACTTGACAATTTACGTCAATGAGATGTGTATGCCTGGTCAAACTTGAAACTCCAAAGTGCTTAGAAACCAAGTATTAGCTTTTTACCCCTATAGCATTTTTATTGCAAGAGAATTTCTGATATGCATCTTGACAAAGCTAGCATATCACGCTAATTTCTGATTGAAGGACGAAATAAATATGTCTAGAAATTAAGCGACAAATTTCTCGGATAAAACTTTTGAAACAATTTAATGTAGTGTTTGGAATTAGTATGAACATTTTAACAACACAGCAACTCAGCAAACAAGACTAACAATTACCGCAAAAGAAAAGAAAAGTTTACCATGAAAGGTTATCTGAAATGAAAAGCTTTCAAGATGCATGTACTAATGAATCCAGCCTGTTGTTATAAGAAATAGGGCGTCAGCGTTTTGCGGGATGAGGAGGGTTACCTCTATAACATATTGTTACATCATAGCCAAGCCCAAGTTTCTGTAGTACTGTTTAGCGCTGTGATGTGTTGTACTCAGTCGAGTTTATGGAGAAGGATGATTGTTCTGACAAAACTGCGAAAACCGGAAATGTTCTTCCTCTTGCCACTAATAAAACGAGCAGTTAAGATTTGCAAAGGGGTTTTCTGTTTGGACAGCCTCTTCTTTTTCTTCAGATACGAAGTAACATTGAAAATTGATGCCCTGAAAATAGTACATTAATAGAACACTGAAAGTATGAACATGAAAATAAATGCGCTATACCCAATGCCTACCTCTTCAACATCCGCAGCCATTTCAAAATAGATCGTGGGCCCATGGCACCAAAGCACAATGTGACACTCAGTCACTGTACAAATGTCCTTGGGCATTTGCGAACTCAAAACGAAACGTGAATCACTGCATGCATGTTTCATCCAGAAGCATTCATCCTTTATTCAACTTTGTGGTATTGTTTGGAGGGTTTTTCAACATGTAAGTTCTTCTTGTGACAATTCTCTTTCCTGTGGATTTTTGTGCCTTAGCAAAGGTGAAGGACATGACTGCATATAAAAAGGTTCTTCTTTCTCCCATCTTTATAATCGAATAGTAGCTAAGAAAGTCTTTCTCTAAGTGTTTGGAGAACCACATTTTCTTCTTCGAAAGATTTTTAGAAGATCATTTATATCCAAAATCTTTCCTCAAATCATCTAACTAATGCTCCATGTCCTTCCTTCCTATAGCACATCACCAAATCTTATACTAAACCGAGCTCCAAAGCAGTGGATAGAGTCTTCTGATGGAAATATGCTGAGCAGTATCGAATAACAACTTTAGTGAATTGGAAACAAGAATTCTACAGCGCTGATCTAGTTGTCGTGCACTTAGAGCTCACTTTTTTGAGCAGAAGAAATGAGCAGATCATTACAAAATCAATCGAGGTCCCTCTCAAAAAGAGTTGGACCAGAGTCTTATCTTACATGCGCAATGGTGCCGCGATAAGCTGAACCACTTCTGGGAATGTGGGCGCTTCTGTTTGCAATATTTCCTTCTGTACTAGCAGACTGCCCTATAGGCACAACTTATCATCCGGAATTCAATAGGTGCTTATTTTCTGATTCTTTGTTCAACCTTCTTTACTTTCTAGCAGATTTTGCTGGAAGATAATTCCTTGACTTTTATAACAACAAATCAATAATCGGTAAATATCTAGTTGAGCCTATCAATTTCTTTTTGTTTAGATGCTATTTGTTCGTGTCAGAAGCTCA